CTGCCTGAGCGGGGGTTGGACTAGAAGACCTCCAAGGTCCCTTCCAACTCTGTGACTCTGTGACTCTGTATTCTGCGCACAGCATCCCCTCGTTGGAAGAGGCAAGTATGGGCCACACCGCCTGGCGCACGACCCTCTTCTGCCAGGCCGGGCTGTGATGAGGAAGGCTCGGGGGAGAAGGGAGCAGGGGGGACGGACTGTGTTTTCTCTTGCCTTGAAGATTTACTAGCAGCTTTGTTCCCAGGGACCATTAATCATTCCAGGAAGACACCGATGCCCGAGGAGACTGCTACAGCACAGCAAGTACCAATCCACAAGCTTTTTGATGGTGGTCATAAAATAAACAGGTCAGTCAAGCATTTCATTGGCGGCACAGAAGAAACCCCACCAAATTCAGGGCAGAAATTAGCAGCGGCCAACCGTGTCAGGAGGAGGATGGACAGTGAACCTGATTCTACAAGAGGCCATTTCCAAAGGGAGGGACCTCTTATTAGCAAAACCCAAGCTAAACTCCTGGCAAGAAAACAGTGCCAACCAACCAACCAACCAACCTACTTCTTCTTCAATGGAGCAACGTTGCCCAGTTGTAGATATAAGCATGCCTGGGCCTTAGCAAAGCCTTCAACTGCCTTTCAACAGATGTTCATCGCTATAATGATTAAAAATGGCCTAAGGGACACTCCCTACGAGATGGACTGAAGGACGGTGGAATGACTGGAGCTCATTAATGGGTCCACGTTGGCTTGGAAGACAGGATCAAGCGGTGGGCCCAAAGGGTCTTCTGCCGGTCACCATTCTTATCAATGACATGACGAGGGACTTGAGGGGACATTTGTCAAATCTGCAGAAGACACAAAGCCGGGAGGGATGAATAATACTGTAAAAGGAAGGAAGGCAACTCCAAAAGATCGAGACGAGCAGGAGCAATGGACAGAGACGAAAAGGATGGACTTTCCCCTCTGGTTAATGTTGACTTGTGTGTCTGGATAGAAAAAAAAAAAAGAAAGATCCAAGAATAAGATGGAAGGGTTGGCTTGACAACAGAGCTTGGGGGAAAGGATTTGGGTCACCTTGTGACCTCAGGTTAAACCCGAGCAGGCAGTGTGATACAGCCGCTAAAAGACAAATACTGTCTTAACAAGGATACGGTGTCCAGATCGTGGGATTCATCCACCATGTGTCCTGGTAGGTGTCCAGTTCTGGGCAACATAGCCTCAGAAGGACAACGGCAAAGTGGAGAAGATTTGCAGAAGTGCTACCAAGATTATGAAGGGTCTGGCAACCGTGAGGAACATTTTAAGGATCTGGGCACATGGAGGAGAAGACTTGAGGGGAGAGAAATGATCAAATAACCTGAAAGACAGTACAGGGAGCAGGTTATATCAGAAGCAGCTGATTCTACAGATTCGGGTTAGATGCCAGGAGGTACTTGCCAATGATATGAGATACAAGTCAACGACACAGGCTACTTCTTGAAATGATGGCTTCTCCTTTCCTGTCAGTCTTCAAACACCCATGGATCTCATCTTCCAGAGAGGCACTACGGGACCCGTAGGTGTGTAGGTGACCAGACTAGATGGCTTCTAGGATTCCTTCCAACTTTGTGGGTTTGTTTCCCCCCTTGTTTTATGCAACCGGGATAATCTTTCCATGAGCAAAATTCTGAGCTTTTTCCCCAGTACCCCTTTTCTTCCAGTAGAGAGAAACATCTTGTGGGGATCCTGGAAAATTACTAGCAAAGAAGACCAGCCGTCCTACGGGAAGAAGAGGCATTAAGGCTCCAGGAGGCCAAGAAGCCCCTTGGAGAAGGACCCGGGCTGGTGCTGGGCGAGGAGAGATGGCGCAAGATCAGCTCCCGTCTCTGCCGCTGCTGCTTGAGATGAGCCTCCGCCGGGCGAGAAGATGGCGAGGAGCAGGGTGGGGCCAGGACAAGGAGGACCATCCGTCATTCTCCCTGTGCAATCTCTGCCAGCGAGGCCACGAGACATGCCCTATTAGCTTTAAAATAGACCATTCTTCATTCCGCACAGCCATTCAAAGGCTGTTTGATCTCTCGCAAACGTCTCGCCTCTAATGGATGGGCACCGGCCAGGGATTTGTTGAGCCTTTCCGGAGCCTTTCCCGGCCCCCTCCCACTTCTCCTCTGACCAGGCGCTGCCCTTTTCTCCCTCAGCTGAGAAAGCATGAAAGGGCCTCCATCAAAGCTCTCTACGAGGATGGATGGCTGGGCTCATCCGTTGAGTCAGCTCCCGCGTGCTCTCTCTCTCTCTCCCTCCCTCCTCCTCCTCCTCCTCTGCAGAGCGCTCCCTGGTGGCATTAGGGCTTCGTTAGCTTCCAATTGTTGGAGCAGATAAATTATCTCCTCCTCTCGAGGGTGACGGGCCCCGTTCCAGGGGCAGCGGAGGGCTTCCGTCTGAAGCGATGGGTTTTGGCGGGGCGGGGGAGGGAGGAAGAAGAAAGGGCCAAGCAGGAGGGAGGAGGGAGGCTCAGCCTCACCAAAACCCTGGGAGCCATGGTGGCCAGACGAGAACGTTGCCTCACTGCTGCCTCCAGAGACACGGAGGGCTGGAAAGATGGATTCGGGTTTCAAAGGCTCCGAAAAAGCCCAAGGAGAGGAGGGTTGCAACAGACGGACATGCCTGGCAAGGCCAACCAGAGCCCTGGATGATCAAGGGGTCTTTGGGGGGGTGGGGTCAACAACCCTAAAGTGACAGGAGAGAATCTGTCCCGATATCCTGCTGCAGCGGAAAAAGGCCCTTGGAATATGTGAATATTCATCCCATTCAGGATACTGCATTTCATTCATCCACTGTTCCCCTCGTCTTTTTTTTTCCAAACCAGGCCTACCTTTTCATTTCAAGATCAAAGCTCTCTCTCTTTCTCTGTGTGTGTGTGTGTGCGCGCGCAAGTGCGTATTTTGTGCCTGTTTGTTTCTCTGCTGGGGCATCATCTGTGCGGCTCTCTCACAAGCGCTGGGGAGACGGCTCTCGCTTCCCCTCCCTTTTTCTCTTTGTGGTTTAATTAGTATTTCCAAGAGCTGTGATCCCGCTGGGGAACCGGGTAAAATACAAGGGAAGGATAACCACCAACAATGATTCTTAATTAGTGGATGCTTCAGCTCTCTGCCGCTGTCTGCAAGAGAGTAAGAGGGAAGAAAACAAAACTGCAAGCAGCCAATATCGCCAGACAGTCTGGGCCGATCTGGGAAGGAGCCTCAGAGGACGGGGCGTGTGTGTGTGTGTCTCTCTCTCTCTCTCTCGGCACAGATGAGAGAAGCTATTATGTTCTACTTGTTGCTTAATCCAAAACACGGGCTAGGTTGGTGTTGTGTTCTCCCAGCTGGGAACCTCTGCCATAAATACACGATGTGCTTTGTTGCCTTAAATTAGGCTTCTGCAATCTGGTGTCCCTCCAGATGTGTCGCTACCCGACGCTCAGCCTCTCTAGTTAGCCCAGCGCAGTTAACCCAACGCATTAAGAGGGCATTGGGTTGAGCCACGCTCTACCAGGTGTTCAATGGGCTGGCTTGGCTCTCCTAGACAATCAATAAAGCTTTGCGGATAGAAAGGAGAAACGGGAAGCCTTTGTTCTGAGTTCAGCCCACAGCATCATTCGCCTCCGCTCCCGCACTTCAATAGCTGCGGCTGGAGAAGGAGCGTGAGCCGAGACAGATGGAAACCCGGGAGGGAAAGAGCAATGAAATCAGCCTCGTTCCAGAAGACTTTCGACCCTACTTCCTTCCTTCTGTGGGCCTCGAAGCCCCAGGAGGAAATGCTGAAGGGGAAGGGGGGGGGGGAAGAAGAAGGA